ATAATACCTTCAAATTTTCCCTAATATCAATAAGTGTATTCAATTACCACACAATTGCTACTATTAGTAAAATTACTGTAATTGTCATCCTCAATTTCTATAAAATCGTCGAATGGCGAAGGCGTTTTCCAACCTCCACAATATGCAGGCAAATTGGCTCGGGGACAAATTGTCCCTACCGAAGCAATTTATTGAAAAGTTACCACTGATAAATTAACGTTTTTTCATCAAGCTAACAACGTCACTTTTATCCCCTCGCTACTAGATGATTAGATGTGTATTCAAAAAAATCAGCTTGTATGAACTGCACTGAAGACTGTTGAAGATACTTCTATTGCTTTCTTATCGAAATTAACTTCTTGTTAACTAATTTGTATAATATGATGCAGTTTCAAACACATACTAACCACATGTTAGTATCAAAGTCTCGCATAGGTAACAAAATTGGCTTTGATCATCGCAGTAATCATCTAAGGAAATTAAATTCATTGGCTATCCTGCTTGACAGGGAGATGCCATTGTGCGTGTAATTGGCATCTATATAGGAATGCATGCGTCCAAATTTCGTATTATGGCATTATGCAAATGAAAGGGATAGGTTGAATATGGCCAACGTATGTCTAAATGTTAGTAATGTTCCCAATTCGAGGCTGTTGTTCCGCCTAATTATGTCACTTGTTGCTGCAAGGACAGGAGAGACTTTCCTGTACACAAGGCCCGACACCGCCCTGCAACAGTGAAGTGTGAAAGGAAATGTGTGATGAATAATTATTGTGATGGTATACTATGATTTATTTAATTTCCCTTTAAAGGAAAAATGTACGTCCTGTCACTGTAGGAATTGAGTTAATCCCTCATTCGAGACCAAAACGAAAATATGGGGATTAATAAGGTGCAGAATAAGCTGACAACTGATCGATCACTTTATTCTTCGTTTGCTAATATCAAACTTAATAACACATTAAACTAAAAACATATTGAGACAGATAAAAATAAGTATGGTGATATGTGATATATCAATATTATCTTGAGAATGTATGAGAGTTGGATTAAACAACTATTTTTAGTGCCATAAGCATATCTCAATTGTTCTATTTCTTGCTGGTAATAAGATAGTATCTGCATATATTAATTAAAAGAAAACTGTATCTATAACATCCTGCGCCTGAGTCGGCTATTTAAAATCTGGTTCATTAACGAAACCAGACTCTTTAAAATACCTCGTTTCCACGGTTAAAGAGTTAATTTCATTCCAGAAAGCGTCGTCGGTTAGTCAAATGACCTCAAAAATGATTACATCCTAAGCCCGGAGAGAACAAATTTCACACCGTGGGTCGGTATACAATGACGCAAAATGAGTATGGAACCGTTACAACATGACACCCAATTCATTAGCGGCAACAGCGCGCAATCTGCACACCATACAGCCAAATGGCCGTTCTCCGATATCACTGCCGACGGCTCCGGTAAACGTCAATTATAACAACGTATAGTAAAGACCACCTCATTTCCAGAGACGTACGTACGTACGTTGATACAGTTAATAATAACAACTCAAAATATAAATGTATTTCAGAAGATATTGCATTATTAAAACACCGAATTCCTAAAAGCGAAACAACCATCAATAACCCAGAGTGATTCATGTGACAATAATTTCACTTCTATTCTATTAGATATTCACAATAATTTCAGGTTTCCCGTTTGGAAGGTTCATTATTTCAGATATGTTTACATATTTATTAAATTTATGTAGATATTTAGTTTGTGGTAAATAGGTAGGTACATTTTGAACTAATATTCGCTATAGGCATAATGATATACTGGATATTTAATACCACAGAAATCATTACTAATAATGGTCTAAAATTTAAACCAAACACTGCCAATATTGTGCTTTTTCGAAACTCCATTATCCAGTCCATTATATTGATGTGTTAGATATGATTAATTTTTTGCAGTTAAGCCTTGACATCCTGCTAGCGTTAGAAGTTCAGCTGGCGACCGGCCTAATTGCTAAGTAAAGCGACTGCTAATGTATGCAATGGTGACAATTACGGAGGGACTGATGAAAACGCCTAACTGTTAAAATGTCTACGGGCGTACGGGTCTACGAGCCTTTCGATTTACACGGATAACGTATTAACAGGACAAATGTTTAAAGCCATTAATATGATGCATTACGGTAGTAGCTGGGTTTATCCGTTCGATTGGGTTAGGTAGATAATGCATCAAACATGTCCAGTTCGTGATATGATACCTTGAAAATTGAAATATTAATTATTAATAATTTCAATCATTACGTTGTCACAGTTGTTGTTTCGATTGAGATTTATTGTTTGGTCAGTTTGTAGATAAGATTTTGAATAACTCATTGATATTCATAAATTTAGAAATATATCAAATTTTACTTTAATATTCTAGATCCCTTCTTTCCTTAAAATCTATAAAGTATTTTTTTCAAACGCCGTAACACCTACCTAAACCGCAAGTATTTAATTTTTTTCGCGTAGAGAAAAAATCCCTCTAAAATGTGTAAACGTAATTTCCTTACAAGATCCCCAATCTGTCTGATATTTTACTCTTTCTACTCACGTTGTTACCATTTTGTCATACCTCATTGCACAACACCCTCTTTTGCGGAAACTTGTTTCCCCTTCTTATAAGAAATCTTCACCATTTCTCCTGTAATCAAAAGACGCCCTTAACAGGGTTTTAGTTCATCAGCGAGGGGGCAGAAATTAAAAATTTTCAAAAGATTGTTTTCAACGCCATGGATCCGAATAGGCTCTTCGATCGAGACGAACAGATTGTGGTAGAAGCAAAAATCTTCCAAGGCGAACATTATTCGATACTCCTCATTAATTATACGCTACGAAAAATTATTCCAATTATTCCTGAAGTTGTAGTAAAGAAGGTTAAACATAAATACAAAGAAAGAATGAGAAGGGAGAAGAACCAGAAGAAGATAAACTTCGTTTCGGCGACCGGTACGCTGAATTGGGAATTCTCGGCTCGGACAGAAAACATTTCTCAAAGATACTTTAATTAAGTGGCGGAGGTCAGGTAGAATTAAGAAGTCCCTCTGCTATCAATCAGAAAGGATCATCGGGAGTTTCGTATACCCTACAGGATGTTCAACCAATAAATAGTTTAAGATAATGTCGAATATTAGTTACACTAAAGAATTAGTTGCACTAAAGCAGTATTATTTTTCTTAACCATTAAATACTCGCGTTAGGTTTAGGTAGATATAGAGGTAACGCAGTTGAAATTGAAGATACGCATTCCTTATCCATAAACTCTCACCCCCATTGAACATATTGCATCATAACCCATCAGAGAAAGTACTGAAGGAATGTATCCTGTTGGAGTGAGGCCTTGTCATTCAGGACAAAACATTCCTTTTTTAAAGATTTTTGAGGACATTTGCATTATAATTGGTTATCAACTATTTAGGAATAGGACGTACACTGTGTTGTCTATTCCGTGTGGACCTGAAACTGTGAACAGGGGATCCACCGCTGAGCCAGACAACATATATTTTTCTATCTTTCTGGTCTTGAATCGGCGCTGTCGCAGCGTTTGGGTCAAGTGTCGCCATGGATACACCATCGCTAATTCAGTAGCGTAGCTATTTTTATAATAAATTAGCGCATAAAACATTATATCAAATACTACGGTTATTTTTAAAGTTTAAAAGTGCCAGCTCGTTGCAATATTCGTGCTTGCAATAGGAGTAGATATATTTTAAAATAAATTTTTTGAGCTTCTTAAGGCGCATAAAATTGATTAGATAGGCAGTGATTTTCTTATTCTGCATTGCAGGTTTCACCTACAATTTCAGTTTTCATTAAATTGAAATCAGTCGCATTGGATAACAAATAAGATCACCTTTTCCTACATTCACTTTTTTTATTGGATTTTTTATATATTTTTGTTCGCTCATATTTCGAACTCTTCTTTGATGCAAACAATATTCTTTCTCATTCTATACGTAACGGCAGCGCAATAAAACGAATTCGAGAGGGATAGGAATGTTATTTTTGAATATATTTGAATAGAATGAAGCCGTTCGGGCATAGACTTATTCCAAATTGTTTGATACCAAAATAGTTCAACGGATGAAAAAGTTAAATCAAAAGCAATGTTATTAGAGGTAAGGAATGTGCCAAAAGTTGCCTAATGATATATCCCGCCTCTGATCTGTTGTATAGATACCTAGGACTTGTAATGAATTAGTTTATTGATTGAATAACTCACCTGGTTTGCTTTGCTTAATCGATAAACTAATTTATTAGATATCTAATAGTTAGAAACAGGCCGATGTATTGCGCTGTATTTGAAAGTTTGATTGGTATTTCATTTTTAATTCTGTATTTTGATATGAATTGTAGTGATTAAATATTATTATTAACACCTCTTAATAATAATATTGGCTTTGTTCTGGTTGTCAATGTTGTCTTTAACGTTTCGATTGTAGTATTGTGAAAATTTAATTCGAAATCGTAACAAGAGCGAATAATTCCATAATTTATATTCAAAGAAACACACTGATATGGTAATAATATCAAAATGATATTAGGAGTAAACGTGCCGGGATTTTTAGTAGGTTGAGATGAGAGGAAATTTGGTGTTAGTGTCGAATGTCGACAGAACGGTGAAGGGAAATATACCAAAGGAAGAGATTACTTATTTTCTTCGAAAAATATAAAAGATGCTAATACATTTTTTGCGAAAATGAGAATGTCACATTAGGCGGTCATATATTATTTGGATTTGGTATAGTTTGTAGAATCTAATAAAAGCATTGTTATGTACGGAAGTCTTTCCTTTTTTCACATTGCACTACCCCCATTTTATATAAACTTCTACATTCAACCATTTTTCTATTTTTTGGTACCTCCAATAAATAAGTAAACGAACAAAATATCACTTCGCCAGCTTAAAAAGATTTTGCGACACTTTTTTTTATATTGAAAGAAACTGTCAAGACTTACTGGAAAATTCCTGTTGCGCTTGGGCCAAAAGCGACGCGAAGACATGACTGTCGACAGGCCTGGTGGGAATCTCTTCTTCGCTGGAACTGTAGCCCCTCTCTCTCCACTCCAGGCTACGCTGTCTTCTCATTCCCGATATGTCTTTGGAAGTCCTACGACTCCACGAACTACTCTGAGATTTCATCGTTTCTTTTTATTCATCTGGAAAAATATTTAAAATATTTAGAATAAAACTAAGTTAATCACACTTATTCTAATTACTAAAATACTATATCAATGTGAGTTTCTTAAATAATATACCGGAAAATGTAAATAAAATTATGAGAGTAACCAATAAAATATGTAGCCTGGAAACATTTAGCATTTAAATATCTCTAAAGCATTATCAGCGCATTCATTTTTCCTGCGAGTGTCGCTGTTCGTGAGTACGATGATGAAGCATCAAGATATCCTATAGGTATAGAGGAAAGCAATAATTGGAAGAAACTTCAGAGTCTGTTGTGATAAAGGAAGTAGCAAATTTCCGGCATGACAACTTCCAAGGCGTACACACCTTTTGCTCTTCATCGTTAACAGCAGGTCCGGACTCAAATTTATTGATTCTCTATTTCTTATACTGCTATAAAAGTACCACGAAATTGAAACATTTTATTCATATAAACTATCGTATTGACTCACATAATCTTATCACATAATCAGAATATTATTTGTTAAAAATATAAATAAAATATTTTAAGAATTATCTATATATTGTTTTTACCTACCTATCTAAATTTATTATTAACCTAATAGATAATATATTCTCAAATCATTTTTGTTTCAACTGGATTTTGCAACTTTATTAACCTTTCATAAAAATACATTATTAGAGTAATAAAATAAGTATAGTTAAGCCGGTCCTGATTTACTAGAATTTGACATGTCTCCTACCAAGACCTGAAGTACATAGGAGGAAGTTGAAAAATAAATTATGCTTTTAGTGAGGGGAATGAGTATGTGCTGAGGAAGTGTTTGGGTAGTGGAATAATTGAGTATATGGGGGAAGTTGGAAATTAAATCTTCTATTAGTGTCCTAATAGGTTAAAATGCTTGCAGAAAATTTTCCGAAAGGTAATGGCTAAAACTTTTGTGAAGAAACATATAGATTTGCGGAGAATGGAACGCAACAAAAGCTAAATGAACGAACCATTTTCATTAATTTTGTTTCATCCAAATATCATTATTACCTACATAAAAATGTCCCTTCTAATTTAAAAACGCCGATGATGGATATTGAAAGGATTCCGAGCGCTTTAGCAAAAATAAAATGACACGAAAAACTCATTCTGTTAACATACAATGGTAAAGAACCCATTACACATTTTTATATGTATTGGTTCAATATATCTTGGCTTTTATAGTCAAAATGGCAGCTATTAGAAATCAAGAAAGCAGTGGATTGGTCGTCCAGAAATTTCGTTCCACTATATGTATTATAACTTTATGGTGTTATAATAAAGTTCATCGTGAGAATTTTATTATAGCAGTATTATTTTTAACTGCCACCACATATTGCAGAGAGATGTGGGTTATTCGTTATATAGGGTGTTTCATTAACATAACAATTAATTATAAAATAGCATTAATATCTTATTAGGAGTACGCAATAAAAATTGCCGTAAAACCTAGTCACATTGCATTTAGATCAATAATTTAACAGCTAAGAAGTAAATGAATTTTTACACCGGTAGGTTCGAGTTGAATAAAATCAGATCAAATCATCATTTTCCCCCTATATCTTTACTGTAATATCCGTGTTTACAGAAAATGTACTATTTTTCTCAGTGGTAATTCCTAATTTGCAAAACTAAAACCAGATGCTGTAACAGACATCGCATCGTAAACATTATATTTTTTAATTATCCATTGTTATAATGCCCCGTAAATATTCAATATTTACTAGTTAAAGCCATGTTGAAACCAGTTTGGTTGCTAGTTAAAACAGCATGTGTTCCACACATTAAATATAACCATCAAAACCGAAAATTTAGAATTATTATTGTAATATTAAATTCGAGTGAGTATTGAAAAAATTCAATATTTTTTATTTAGGTATCCAAGTAAAATCCTCTTCAATTTATTACCTCATCAAAATCATTAAATTTTCGAATTAAGCTGCTTCTTGGTTACTCCTACATACTTTCCAATACAAATTTTTCCATTTTCCAATATCATACCGAAAGACGCGGATGTAAGGAAAACGTCAATAAAGTCGCTCCAATTAGCATCCCCTTTACATTTTCAGATAATACGCCTAATCATCCGTTTCTAAAGGAAATTGTTATTAAATAAGGCGCAAAACAAAAGGAAAAATAGCAGTAACGGGATGCGGGTAAGATTACGATCTCGAATTCTGCTCATCCATAGGCGTTGCATAAAATGAAATCATTATTTTGGCATATAAAGATATTTTTTTCAGATTGAAACTGAATTAAATAGTGTGCTCTATGTTTAGTAGTAACAAATAAGCATATTAATTTGTAGTTTTGTAAAATATATTATACATATGCCAAATCTAATCAGTTTCCAATTAATGCATAAACATTGATTAATATGCATTTTCATTTACTTGATGAATAACTAATTAATTAATCTTAGAAAAAATGCACCGCTACTGTATTTAGTTGAAAAACATATTCAAGAAAAACATCGTTTTGTCGGTACTTATTCGTCATGACCTCGGGTGCCAGTCGAACTTTACAGGTAACTTAGTTTATTTAGGAACTTTTCTCAATAACATTTGAAAAGTTAAACAATGCGGCTTGTTAGGGAAACTTTACCATACCGTCTGCCTTCCAACATAAACAAAACGTCTTTGTTTTTTTTGTCTCTTATTTCGTCTTATCTCTCATCCTGAAGGAGATCACTTCTCCATTCAGTAGCAGGAACTATATAACAATGGCTCGTTATTGAAATATTTCATAGTTTGAAGGCATACGTCGGTAAATTGGCGCAAAATGTGTTCTCGTGTGCAGACGGTAAATCCAGACAATAAATAAATTTAGGAAAATGGAATCGTCCGCATTCCTCTTCCTTTGAAGAAAATAAGTACTATTATTTCCCACCACTTATTTAGCTAAGTGCATGCACAACATCCACGACAATTTCAACGCGATGTTTGAAAAATGTCCTCACCCCGAATTTTCCAATAACATTCGATCTACCTCAAGTGCAACGCTATTATATTTTCTATGCAAATTTCATCTATTTTCCCTACGTTGTTCGTTCTTATTTAAAATTATTCAAATACTCAATAGTCGAGTGCAGGCGAACGGTTGAAATTTTCAAGACTGTACCCATGTGATACTTGAACTTTTGGATATGTAAATAGCCGAAAGAGAGAACCGGCGGTTGTATGACGACCATCTGGACTGACTTGACGAAATGCAAACTTCAACAAATCAAGCCGCACACACTGCGGTGCAAGAGATGCGGCTACGAATGATGGCGATAACGTCTTACTCAGTTCTGCGGTAATTTACCAGCAACCAGAAAACGGATGAAGTTTCTCTTATTTTAAACAAGACGCTGAACTTATTTCGCACTTTACTTTGTTTTCCTCGTTTATAGAACGTAAACTTTTAACGTTGTTTTTGAAATGTAAAGAACTCCTCCGTATATTAATTAAAGAACGTCTATAATAACTCAATTAAGCTTAGATGTGCCATGATTAATAAATTTATATATCAATGCACGTGTCAGGGAAAGAGCAGCCTCGTGTAATTCAAACTGATGAAACTAACGTCATTACGGCTATATGAAGCAAATCATTATCCTGGGGCGCTCCTCGCGGCAATGTTTGTCAAAGGGTACAATAAATAGTCTGAATGACCACGGGATCGTATCGGAAGGGTTACTGATATTTGTTTTCCCTCTTGCGTTTACCCCGCAGATCCGTAACAACGAAGAGACTCAGTAATTTATCCAAATGGACATACAGGTACTCGAGAATTATGATTACATGCCTGGGTTGTTGCAAACGTAATTTTAGCTGAACATCACTCTTTGGTGTCTTATTTTACTACGCAATTACTGTTCCAGTAAGGTACATTTTTATCTCTAAACAGCATTTACCTAGGTTGCTCATAGGGTAGAAGTGCTTCTGGATACGTTTGACCAACACAACACCAAATTAATTCGGTGAGTCATTAATTTTATAAAGTTTTCCTATATTTGTCCATTCGTAATACTAACCGGAGGCACAGTGTTTTCGACAGGGATGGGGGTCGCAACTAATGACACAATGTGATCAATAATTGCTGATCTCCTAGCAATCTGGCGCTAAACGAATTCCTGGGATTAGGTACGAGTCACGCACTATTTTTGCGCCGGAATCATGAGCGATAAGGATCCATAATGGGGCGAGAAAAATTATGTACATTGGTTAACACGTTCGGGGAATTCGGAAAACGTTTCGAGGATTTACACAGATATTTTTTCCCGATTGCTCGCGGTAAATTATTTACCGACACGTAATATCGTTATTTATTCACTGTCCAATAACGAATGTTTGTGTAAAAATTTTTTAATGAAAAAGAATAATTAAAAATCACGGTTAATTGTAAATTGAAATAATTGTTATTGCTATTAATGCAATGAATTACTACGAAAACTATTTAATAAAATTTATCTTTCCAAGATTGTCTTTTAAAATAAATAAATAAAAAAATACCATTATAGTGGATTTTCCATTTCAACATTTCTGTAAAAATTCAAGGACTATTAACAAATCCTTCGCCGACTAAACAACCAATCAATAATTACAGGATAAATGATATCCTGCGTACACCTGCGACCTCCCTTGACCGCTTTTCCAAAGAAAATCTATTTCGTCCTGCTGCAGGATGCTACGATACAGGATGCTCCGGGTCGCGATAACAGTAGCATACAGTTTCGGGAAACTGGCAATAGAGGCCGCGCCGGAAGTCGTTTGAGGAAGGAGATGAAAGAGGGAGCGACTTGTAGGGTTTCCGGTACACGGGGAATTTGTTGGGGGTATTATTATAGGGATGTAGGCCGTTTACAAAGGCTGGTATTTAGATGGGGATTAGAGGTAGAATTAACCATATGAAGGTAGAAAAGACAATGGCAGGATTCGGGAATAATTCATTCGGCTACCTCCAATGGAGATTACTCTAAATACCA